TATTTTCATCCTTAATCATAATCATAATTATAAAAGCTTGTAAAAAATAATTATAATATATATTTATATTTTTAAAAATTATATGTAAATTTTTTAATATTATTAATATATAAATAAGTATTGTCTTACTATCTAAAATTTCTGGATCCGTCACTAATTTCGTCTAGAGGCCTCGTTAAAACTGGACAACCTTTTTTATTTATTTATAGAAATTATAATAATCACTACAGAAACACCCTAATAAAACAGGCTGCTTTTTTATAAAAATCATTTCGGAGTAACTGAAAGTAATTAATTACATACTATTCATCTCATAACCCCACGTGTTTAGCAGTCTCGTATTTTGAGTTTGTAAAGTATTTATTTAATGTTTGAGTGGATATATTTTATACTACGTATTAGATTTGACAAAGAACTTGTGCCAACCGCTTAAGCTGATAGTGAAAGTCCAATTAATGTGGGAAAATGTTCCCTAACGTACAAGCCTGATACCATGCAGTTATACAACTTGGAAATGCTTCTTCTGCAAGCCCCAGCTCAGTCGACCCACATAACAACAGATAGTAGGGTTCTGAGCCAAATGCTGAGCCAGAAGCTAGTCCCTACAAAAGAGCACAATCCCATAAAGCGTGGCTTTCGGGCACTCGCATACTTCGTGCAGGATAATTGGAAACGCCTTTGGGTGATAGCCTTGTGGCTTTCCATTTGCGCTGGTCTCTTCACATGGAAGTTCATTCAATACAAGCACCGTGCTGTGTTCCATGTCATGGGCTACTGTGTCACCACAGCCAAGGGCGGCGCTGAAACAACCAAATTCAACATGGCCTTGATCTTGTTGCCTGTTTGTAGAAACACCATCACCTGGCTCAGGAGTAAGACCAAACTCGGAGCAGTCATTCCCTTTGATGACAACATTAACTTTCACAAGGTACGTTCTATGTCCTAACAGACAGTGTAAAACAGTAGTTAAACATTCTCAGACAATCACAAACTATTTCATATATGATATGTTTGTTTACGATCACAATCTTAAAAGTTATACCAAAGATGATTTGGAATGATCGATAGTTTTGTTATTGATTGACAGTGTAAAACCTTTTTAGATCGTTAGTGTATGGTTATCTAACTCTTATACTATTACATTATCTTTTGATTAAATTACACCACTAATTACTTTAACGTTATATAGGTGGTAGCCTTTGGTATTGCAATTGGGGTTGGGTTGCATGTGATTTCACATTTGACTTGTGACTTCCCAAGGTTGTTGCATGCCACGGATGCAGAATACGAGCCCATGAAACCATTTTTTGGTGATGAAAGGCCCAACAATTATTGGTGGTTCGTAAAAGGGACTGAGGGATGGACCGGGGTGGTGATGGTAGTGCTCATGGCTATAGCCTTCATTTTGGCTCAACCATGGTTCCGAAGAAACAGGTTAAACCTCCCCAAACCCCTCAAGAAGCTCACTGGTTTCAATGCCTTTTGGTATTCCCACCACCTTTTTGTCATTGTCTATGTGCTTTTCATCATTCACGGATACTTTCTGTACCTCAGCAAAAAATGGTATAAGAAAACGGTACGTGCGTGGTCTCACTCGAACATGCATGTTCTCTGTTCCTTTTTTTCTCTCTTTCAAATCTTATTCATTGATGAATTTGGTTACACAACAGACGTGGATGTATCTCGCAGTCCCCATGATACTATACGGATGCGAAAGGCTTCTTCGTGCGTTTAGATCTGGTTACAAATCAGTGAGGATTCTCAAGGTACATACATTTTCAAGAACTTTACTTCATCTCTGTTTTAAATTTTAACATCAATTGTGGTGTCACTAAATGAAATGTAAACCAAAAATATTCCAGGTTGCTGTGTACCCAGGAAATGTGCTAGCATTACATGTGTCTAAACCACAAGGATTTAAATACTCTAGTGGCCAGTATATATACGTTAACTGTTCAGATGTCTCCCCATTTGAATGGTGAGCACTTAATTTAAGTTATAATTTTGTTCATACCTTGATCATTAACAAGTCAAGTTAATTTAATTGTGTGGTACTGGTACATATCTATATAGGCATCCCTTTTCTATTACATCGGCTCCCGGAGATGACTACGTAAGTGTTCACATTCGAACTTTGGGTGATTGGACATCACAACTGAAGGCTGTTTTTGCCAAGGTGGATTTTGCATGAGGCAACACTTTATTCTTTTTATTTGGAGAATTCATTGATGACATAAGTTTAATTATGTTTGTTCACAACATAAATGCTTATTACTAAATTAATATGATCGATTTTGCAGGCGTGTCAACCAGCAAGTGGTGATCAAAGTGGTCTTCTAAGAGCTGATATGCTACAAGGCAACAACAAACCAAGGTATGTTATGATTAAAAAGAGACATGTGATACTAAAATTGGCAAAAATGACTGATTTCTAATTCTTGTGAGACTAAAATAAATTGCAGGATGCCAAAGCTATTAATTGATGGACCATATGGAGCTCCGGCACAAGACTACAAAAACTATGATGTGATCCTTCTGGTGGGGCTAGGAATTGGTGCCACCCCTTTGATCAGCATACTCAAGGACGTGTTGAACAACATAAAGCAACAACAAGACTTAGAAAAAGGGGTGGTGGAAAGCGGGGTTAAGGACAACAAGAGAAAGCCTTTTGCCACCAAGAGAGCTTATTTCTACTGGGTTACCCGTGAGGAGGGTTCCTTTGAATGGTTTAAAGGGGTGATGAATGAGGTGGAAGAGAATGACAAGGAAGGAGTCATTGAGCTTCACAATTATTGCACAAGTGTGTACGAAGAAGGAGATGCTAGGTCGGCTTTGATCACTATGCTTCAGTCCCTCCACCATGCCAAAAGTGGTGTGGATATAGTCTCAGGAACAAGGGTCAAAACGCATTTTGCAAGACCAAACTGGCGCAATGTCTTTAAACATGCAGCCATCAAACACCCTGACCAAAGAGTTGGTAAGTTTATATTCATTTTGCTCTCATTTTGATTATTGAAATTTACACATAAATTAATTACTTAGCTAATTTTCAATCTGCTGTACTATTTTCAGGTGTTTTTTACTGTGGGGCACATGGATTGGTTGGGGAACTTAAAAGGCTTTCTTTAGACTTTTCCAGGAAAACCAGCACCAAGTTTGATTTTCATAAAGAGAATTTTTAGATTATTTTCTCATAGTTTATTATTATTTTTTTGGCAACTGTAGTTACTAGTTAGATATAGTTCGATCATTTTTTTTCCTTGTAGAGGTATGTATAGCTAGCTGGATTTGATGCACGGAACTTGTATCAAAAAAAATTATTCACTTTCAAGTAATGTGAAGTTGTGATATGTTGTAAAACTTTCATACTTTTAGGTTTCAGCTCAAATGATTATTGTAATTCTATTGTATTTAAAAACAGTAAATTATTATACTATTACCTTTTTTTTTTTTGAAAAGTACACAGGTATGCACCATCATTACCCACAAGATATCAACTACTAACTAGAACTCGAGTGATATATACTATCACCCCCAAAGGAAAATACTCGGAGTCCCATGTCATTGCAACTGTGATTAATGTTATTGTGTGTATCAGAATTAAGTCATTGCATGCTTTGTGTCACTTTTGGTGTTCATATTGACTTGTTCCAAGGTTAGTACTAGTAGTTGTACACATGGGTTGTCAAAGTAGTTGTACGCATGGGGTGCTTTGCCAGGGAAATCATTGGTGAACTTGCTACTGATGTTGAGATAATGTGTCTAATGTCTCTGTTTTGAGGGCATTTTCTAGAACAACACATAACGTTAATATTCTTGATTTTGTGTCTTGTGAATGGCTTGTTGGTTTTTTTTACCTGATTGTGTAATTTTGTTTCAGAATTTTTGTAATGGATAATTTAAAAAAAAAAATCTGGGAATAGATAAGTCATGATTATTATATACGAAATTTAACTTAAAAATTGTGTTTTAAAATAAAACTTCTCTATTTATAATTTTAAGATATATATTTTTTAAATTTTAAAAAAATCAAAATCATTTTTAATAACAAGACTTTCCTAAATACTTTGTTGATTTTTATTTATTTAATTTTTTTAATGAAAAATAGTAAATTTTATTTTCACGATTTTTTTAAAAATTAAAAATAAGAGTCAAAACACGAATCCTACTCCCTGTTTTTTACTTTACTTCGTAATTTTTTTTATAATGTATAATATTTTTTAAATTGAAATAAATTTTCTAAAAAAATTGTTTGCTTCACTACTAATTTGTTTCTAATGTTTAATTTTTTAAAAACTAAAATATTTTTTTTTAAATTACTATAAATAAAATCTAAATATATTTTATAAAATAGTAAATTTAATAATAAAATTTTTGTTAATAATAAATATTATATCAATAATTATTATTTATT